ATTTTGAGAATTCTTGTTTATTGCATTTTATGGAGCTTGTCAAGCACAAGACTGGTAGTGGTGTCCCTTTTTTTTTCGGTTTTCCATACGAATGAGCTTACTCCAGCTGGTGGTACAATATCCAGAGGCGGTATCGCCTCTCTGATCCTCTAGTTCTGAAGTTATAAAATTATCTTAATTGCGTATCTGTTATATATGTATTAAAATTGACCAAACAAGCCTCTGTATGAAGCACTGCATTTAATTTAACAACTAAATGCAATTATATTATAATATAAAGTCAGCAACCTAAAATGACATTTGTCTGATATGATTTCAACTTGGCTGCAGTTCAGTTTGAAGTTGTGGTATTGATATGAAATCTGTGCATAAAACTGATATCAGCCTTTTAGGAAATTACATTTAGATCTTGGTCCTGATTTACCCCAGATTTATCTGATATATTTTATCAGAAGAGATTAGGGCAACCAATATGTTTTTACTGCTAATTTTTGAAGTTTTGAAACAATGTAAATTGCTCCTATCTTTGATATATATCTATATTCTTATATATATTTTATTCAAAGCCTTAACCTCTCTCCCACCCCCACCCCCAGCACACACATTCAAGGACACATGCCATATCCCCTTAAACTTTTATTTCTGATTGAAAACAATAGCAATAGCCAGAAAATACTGAACAGAAAGGTAAGTGATAGATGGTAAGCAATCTTCCCAATAAGGTGTTATATTATATTTTAAAAAGTCTTTCGTTATATTACAGGTGTCAGACAGATATTGACGAGTGTGCCTCTAGTCCCTGCCAGAATAACGCCACTTGTATTGATAAAGTGAACGCTTTTGAATGCAACTGTACTGCTAATTTCACTGGACCCGTATGTGAAACACATGTAAGTATTCTGTTATTTTATTTGTGTGCAACTTTCTTAAAGGGATAACTACTATTAGCATGAGATTCATATTTCATGAGAAATACATTGTAAACAGCCCTTAGAAATATGATAAATTGCATTTTACCAATTTATTCTGGAATCTGTGCTTGCCATCAATGACGTCTATCTTCATAGATAGCTGTACCTCCATAATAATTTCTTATGAGATTATTAAAAAAACAAAATTTTTTAGGGAAAAAAACATGAAGTAACTTTGAATGTAGGAATGAATTCAACCATTTGGCCAAAACAAATAGATTTTATCCCTTTAACTAATTTAAATATGTTCTTTTTGTGTTGAGTAGAATTCTTTTTGCTAGCAAGGTCTGTACATATGTCTCCCACACAGTAATCTTATCATATTAGGCCACTTTGGTACAGTCACATGTTTGCAAGGCCTGTCATAAGAAAATAAATATAAAAATACAAAAAAGAGCACAAATTTTCTGTCAATTCCTTAATGAACACTTATTTTTTAACCTATTTTATTTTTGAACCTTCTACACCACCATTAAATATTTAAGTCCAAATTTGTAAGGAAAGTATTGATCAAGCTCTTCTGTAAACGTCCCTTATTATCATTATAAAGATGCCACAGTGATAAAGAATTGTGCTTATTTGCTTAAATGATAAAGGAAAAAAAACAGCATGTGATACCAGTTACACGCAACAAGTTTGCAGCAGTTGAGGTGTGAATGATGTAATTGCAGTAGTTGAGACTGGATGTGCTGGTCACAATCCAAGCCTCTGTGTGCAGCAAGGGCTGATTTCATATCAGAACATTCTCACAGATTAATAACTACAAGTTGGTAGGTTTCAGCATAATACAGGGAGACAGATCCAGAGATATTTTCTGACAGTCTTCCAAATTATCTTTGTTGTTCCATACTCCATTTTTGACTGTCTTCCGACAGGCAAAAATTAGATACCTGTCAATGTAAACTTAAAAATCTGACCGTCTTGTGGATGACCCAGAAGAAGGCTCTGCCTTTATAATATAATACTGTATCGTATGGTTTGAATTGTTTGCAAATGATTGTATATTGTTCTGTTTTGTCTGTTTCAGATCAGTGACACCTGTGCTTCTGAGCCGTGTGAAAATAATGCAACGTGTGTGGATATCAACCGCAATGAGACGGAGCCAGGACAGGTGAGTGTTCTAGTGATAATGATATAATATTACCTGTCCTGATAAAGTATGCTATGGGAAAACATGGGGAGTCGCTGTTCTATGTGAAAACCATTGAATACATACAACTAGGGATCGAGTAAGAAAGAACAACTGGACTTGATCATTCTAGACTAAGATGTACAGTGCAGAATTCTTTTCCTTGATTGGATAATAAAAAGCAGATTACGCATGATGCACCATAAACACAATAATTAACATGTTGCTCATACAGACTTTACACAAAAGTTCCCATGAAAGAATAGTTTTTAGATAACAGCTGACAAGACGGGGCATCACGATAATCCAAAGGTTCATTGGTTTGAAGGTTCTTTGGTTCGAAAAATTGTATGCACACACCTTTGATGAACATAACTTTATTGCCAGTTCACTATACACTTTATTCATGAAAAAATTTGGGCTCTCTACTCGAACCTTCAACCTTTTAACTTTTGCCACAGCCCCCCCTCCCCCCAACAAGATGGCTAAGTTTATGTGGGTGTCCAGCTATTGTGGTCAAACTAAAATTATCCTTAGTATGATGGTCAGATGGATTTAATGACCATGTTTAAGTCATGGCTTGGCAGTTGATGGGACTGTTAAGGGGCACATCAAAGCACTTAGACATTTTATGATCCAGTTCTACCTTTAATTGAAGATTTATGTTTATACTGATATTAGTTGTTGTCAATCTGAAGGCCAGGTCTCTGTCTGCTATTGACGTGGGCTGTTTGAGTTCAGACCATCTTCAGATTGACTACTTAAATGATGTTCTGTTTATTAATTGGTCATTATTTAAAAAAAAAAAAAACTCTTGGATGTAAATGTTGGGTATCGTGTCGATCAGTGTTAAACTTAACATAACTTCAGTCTTTCACGATTGTTCTCTAGAACCAACATGATGTTATGTTAGCAATTGAGCTCAAGTGAACTTTTCCCAGAGCCTTTTTAGACATGAATTATACTGCATGCTATTTGTCAGAAGTAAATGTCATGTTACAGTTAAATACTGTATGTGGGACTTCAATTAGTTCTCTTTATGTATTCACTTGCGTATATGTGGACACCAAACCTTGGACAAATTGAACTTGCATCAAATCAACCAGAGAATATTCTGGTATTACATATTTTCGAAACTGATAGGGACTAAACCTGACACATAAGTTAAGTCTTACTAAAATGAGTGGAAAATCATTTGGATATATGAATACCTTTTCCATTAGAATTTAGAAAGTATGGCAGCATTGAAATGTCTATAATTTTGAGCCTTATTTCAATATATATTTGCTGTCTGCGGATTATGTATCGGTTTAAAGCAACCAGGTATTAAATGCCTTCTTCGAAGTAATTATGTGTCATTTTGTTCACACAACTTATTAAAGCATACCGCATTTTAAAAAGATTTCTCACTGGGTTCATTATTTGCATAAAATCTTAAGGTGCATGTTGCACTGGGAATTATGGTGTTCCTTTCATAATTTAAGGGAGAAACTGACGGGACAACACAGAATTTTATCAGGGCACTCTTTCATGATAGACACCCATTGAAATATCTTTTTGTACTAGAGATTGGTGCTAGATATATCTGTTGTAGACATCACAATCTATGAAGCACATTCCTGTAGCTTTTCATGTCACCCTGCCATCTGTCAATCCCCACGTTAATCACGTCCACTTAAATTTGATCTATCTCCATCTTTGAATCTTGTCATCACATTTTTATGCCAGGAAAATTGGCCAGCTGGGGAGACATTATTTACTATTCTTATATTTATTAAGTAATCATGGTCCAGGGCCGTATGCGTGCATTGGGAGGGACTGTTGTGGATACTACATGGGTGCAGATGTTAGTTATCCTCAGTCAGGGCACAGGGTAGTTAGGCATATATGCCCAATTGGTGTATAATTAAGAAATGCAAGCTGTCACCATGGTCTATGAGGTGGGACGTGTATTAGCTATCACACCCTTCGCAGAGTTCTCAGAGATACCAGGCTGTAGCTTCTATCATGAAAATTATTCTTCACTCTGCAAGTAAGTCTTATTGCAGTTGATTCTGTTGAATCATTTGTATGAATGAAGTACTGCATAATTATAGCAGATATAAAGCAGACAGACAGCAGAAATGTTTTATTACCTTGTTGAAGGGGTTTTTATTTGCACAGAATGAAGAAATTTCTGTTCCTTTATCTGGGCTGTTTTAGATAGTTTTCTGTCATAGATTGTGTTGTAAACTTTTTAGGTAAGTTTTATCAGCTTGAGTTGAAGCTACGGATTACTGAAAACATTGTTACAAGACAAGGTGATGATGAGCTACGTTTTCTAAGAATGTGGACAAATTTGTTGAAACAATATTGAAAGTGTGCAACGAAGTTTACATCTCAGCTTCTTTGGCAGTATTTAGCAAAGACAAAATATATTCATTATTGGTTAGGAAGTACCTTTTCTATTCCAGCCTCTATTTAAGTGCAACTGTGTTCGACCTTTTGAGGGCCAACTCTGTGAGAAGATGATCAACTACTGCGAGGACCAGCCCTGTCAAAATAGAGGGACCTGTATAAACGATTACACGCTATTTACCTACCAGTGTAACTGCTCTAAAGGTGAGGACCTTGCAAAAACACTTATCTTTTGTTTATGGTTGTGCTTACAACTCCTTCTGAGCCAATATCATGATATTTACCTCACTGTATTCATAGAATCATTTTAACATGGAGAGCATTGTAATTATTTTGTTATGATACTTTTACAGAAATATGAAAATTCTAAGTTTGAAATGTGAACAAACAGTTGAAAGAAAGATGCTCAGTCACTATTATATGCATTGATTTGAGTTTGTCTGCTCCTCAAAGTCTTTAATTTTGAATAATCTCATTTGTTGGAAGAATGGACCTTCTGTGACAGAGTAATAAAGTCACAGGTGTGACTTATTACCTGAAAACTCTGGCACTTAAGACTAGAAAATGGCATTCTGCCTATTATGGTGAAGTGGTACTGTCAAAGATGAGATTTTGAATGGTCATTGCCTGTTGAACACAACTGTTTGCGCTCTCTCTTTCTCTGTCTCAATCCCTCTATCTTTTTTTTCCCAAATCATGCTCACACGAGCACAGAGATAGATAAATCAAGTATCTATGTGTTAATTTCTCTCTGTTCTCTGTTGCCAAGGGATAAGTTGATCAGCACATTACAGTTCATATCTCACTCTCTCTCTCTCTCTATTTCTCCAGGCTACTCAGGTAGGAACTGTACTGTGAACAGGGATGACTGTCCAGCTAACGCCTGCAGTGGACATGGTCAGTGTGTGGATGGCCTGGACACGTATACTTGTAATTGTAATCCAGGTAAGTAGGGAAAATTTTCCAAAGTATGTTGAAATGAAGTTTAAAAAACCTGAAATCAGGGGAAAAAATCACATTCCTGTGTACTGTATCATAATCTAACCATTTCTATCTGTTCTTTGACTATAATACAAAGATACCTTTCTTGGCAACCTTAGTAGTTTTTGACTTGTGGTTTCCACTATAGAAGAATATGGAGAGGAGTTGCTGCTGTCCGCATCTTTTCTAAACACCCAATACTAGAGATGAGATTTTTTTATTACCCGCAAAAGCACTTATTGGCTTCTGCTTAGGAATGTAATCTTCTAATGTCTTTTCTGTGAGGAGTACCACTTGCTTAATGAAGTGAGACAAAACTGTTGCATTACTGAAATGGATAAGGTTGTATTGACAAGGTTTCAAACCCTGCTGTTGTGTTTGTGTAAACAGCCCTACTTTACAACACTGTCCTTAACTTGAGAATTAAACAAAAAGGTTTGACATTAAATGTTTTACGTATTTGGAGTAAGAACTGAAATTATTGTGTGCATGATACGTGAATAGTTTCCCTGCTTTTCATTCTATTAAATTTGTTGAAAACAGTGGGATTTTAAAATCCCAGTTACTGATCCATCCATTTTATTCCCCAGGCTGGGCAGAGTGGAACTGTTCTAGGGACATAGACGAGTGTACGGAGATAAACCCCTGTGTCCACGGCACCTGTACCAATGCTCCAGCAGGAAGTTATACTTGTAGCTGTGACAAAGGATATCAAGGTAGCTCTCTCTCTCTCTCTCTCTCTCTCAGTGTGCAAGAACATGCATTCTGTAAGCCTGTGTGTGCATATGTCATATGCATATGTCTTTTTAATACTGTAACATATGCACTTGGTACATTTTTATTGACTAGTGCTCCAGCAGCTGTATTATTCATAGACTGACACATCTTGTCATAATCGCCTGGGGTCATGCTGAAACAGTAAAAAAATCCTTTATGGAACTAATTACATATGCTACACGAATAATTTACTTGTAGTTAAACACACTTGTTTGAAAAGTTTTATAGTGCTGTTATTTTAAGACAATTTTGTTAATTAGAAGTTTTGAAATGATGTCTAGGAACATATTTTTACAGGTAAAAATTGCTCTGAAGATGTCAATGAATGTGAAACAGAACGGCCTTGTAAAAATGGCGCCATTTGCTACAACCTGGTCGGCAGCTATTTCTGCAACTGTTCCACCTTGCTGGGGTATTCTGGGAAGGATTGCGAGATTGCAAACTGCTCGTTCAGCCAGTGCCAAAATGGCGCTACGTGTGAAGTGTTCGATAACTCGACCACTCAGGCCCAGCAGTGGCTATGTGTTTGTCCTGAGTTTTACGCTGGTAAGTGCACCGAGAGCACATTCAGAACAGCGGACTAACAGAACCACGGATCAAGTATGGCGACCCATTTAAAAGTTTTTCGCTTAGTTCCTGATAAGACACTTAATGGATTTCCCAAGGGGATTTCACAGCAAGCCTTTAAGTGGGTCAGCCATATTTGACCTGCGGATTTGTTAGTCTCTGTTCTGAATGCGCTTCAAGTCTTGGAAATATCTCTACAAGTGCCCAGTCGTATATAGAATGAGTCATTTGTAATTATAACTGAATTATAACCTTAAGAGAAATAAAGATTAATTGCAAAATGGATATGAACTAAGACCTAAAGCCTAGTGGTGTACCTGATTTGAAGATAAAAGATAAAATGGAGGATTATTTTAATGGACAAAGATTAGAGACAGTTTTATTAACTTCATTGTTGAGGCCTTTTTCACAGGCCTAAGTAAAAATACCAGTTTTGACAACAGAGGTATACTGTTGTTAGTAAGTTTTGTTTTTTCATCGTGTAGGAACTATCTGTACATATCTGATCCTCATGTTCTGTACCACATATTCAGGTTCACAGTGTGATGTAAAGCATCCCTGTGCAGACAACCCTTGTCAGAACGCAGCCACATGTAGTGATGATGACCCAGCAAGATACCAGTGTATTTGTGGTCCAGGTAGGCTAAGGGCTAGGGTAGGATCAAATGACGGATTATCTTGAAGACATTTCATTTGTACTTTCTGTATTGTGATACCCCAGCATAAATTCTGAGGCTTAGCTGACTTAATTATTTATTTATTTGTTTATTTTTGCTTCTTCCTCAAATTTTCTAATTTTTTCAAAGAACAAAAACTTTAAATAAAAGTACTTTTGCTTTGTTAGTTAAAATGTGATAAACTAGCATGGTTGCTTAATAACTGAGCTTATTCATAACCAAACCCTGACACATGTTGAAACCATGTGTTGCCTCATGTATGCCTTGTTAACACTGAAGTCTATTGTTCCTGATAACTGTTTGTCACAGCTGTGGCTCCACCTCCAGTTGAATTTGGCTGGGAAGTGGCTCCATCTACATTTTATTTTGAATTGAGGCTCTTCATGATAATGTGATTTTGGTGTGAAAGACAGATTTTGCTTATATTTCACTTCCTGCTGTTGAGTAATACAACTGTACAAATAACAATGAAGCTTGAAATTCTGATAAGTTCTTTTGCTGAATGCAAAGCGTATGATCAGATTTCTTTATTGGCAAATGATTATGTATAGCTTAAATCTTTGAAACAGTTAAGATGTAATACAAATGGGGTTCTTGCAATCATGTCTCATATTAATCTTAACTTGACTGAGCATGACAGTGCATGACGCACTAACAGAAGAGCATGACTTCAACTTCCAGGTTGGGAAGGCGATACTTGTGCAGACGACATAGATGAGTGTGCCATTGGGCGCTGCCAAAACAACGCCTCCTGCACAAATTCGCAGGGTGGCTACGCGTGCGCATGCATTCTAGGCTTTACTGGCACAAACTGCGAGACTAACATTGACGACTGTGCTGGCGACCCCTGTGTGCATGGCAACTGTAGCGATCTTGTTAACGAGTATTCCTGTCAGTGTGAGGAGGGTAAGGATAGGTGGCGCCATGGTCACCAGCCTGTCTTGAATTTATTTATATAAATGTATATCTTATAAGATGTCTGAATACTTCATTTATTAGAAATAAACCACCATTTGGTATTTAACAGCCAGTAGCTCAGAATGAATGACTGGAATAAAGTATTATATTTGTAACAGTTTTTGAAAAGATTTTTTTTTTCAAAACAAAAGAACACTTAAATTTTTTTAAAGCAAACTGATTGTATTTTATGTTCACAAAGTGTTATTTCAAGTCACAAAGAAAAGGAAAATCTTGATAGTTATTGTTTGTGTTTAGGTTGGCAGGGTGTCAACTGCAGTGAAGACATAAATGAATGTCTGAAGACACCTTGTCAAAATGGTGCGACCTGCAACAACTTGCTTGGCTCCTACAACTGCACCTGCACTGCTCAGTTCCTGGGTAAGTTAAAATGGAATGTCTTTGGGCTCTATCCCAGTGAAACTATTGATCTACATAGATCGATCTGAGAGTGCATTCCCAGAGATTTAAGTCGATCCATCCAGATTGATCTCCCTGAGGGTTCACGCTAAATTGCAGTCAGCCGAGCTCGCATGACAGTTAATTACCCCCTTACAGCTTTTAGTGGGCGGGACAGACGCTTAAGCCCGCTTAGCTGACAGTAATCTAGTGAGACTCCCCACAGGGATAGATCGATCTAAAATCTGTGGGAATGGGGGCTGAATGCAGTCAGATTAACATATTAACATGTCTCCTACTGGCACTGAGTAGAATACAGAAATGCCTGTAATTATACATGTCAGTCTGTTAATTTGATTGTATTCAAGCAGAGTTGGATCTATTTACATATGATAGTTTCAATGTGAATGAAACCCTAAATTTCAGGCTGTGATACCCTGCATATCTAAGATCAAGGGTGGGGTTGAGAAATGACATCCCTTGTGTACTTAAGCTCATGGATATTAAAGATTTCAGAACATTTTATTACACAAATTTAATTTTTACATCTCCTTGATCTAGACCGACTTAAATAACATGATATACCTATTAAATATTGTGTAAGTGACCTCTCACACGCAAGCCAATCTAAAGCTGTGTTCTTTGCTGCAGGTCCTAACTGTGAGTACGAGGACCCGTGTAAGCCAGGCGTGTGTTCTAATGGTGGGTCGTGTCTGGCCTACAGAGAGCAGGAGGGCATGTACAGCGCCGAATGCACCTGTCTTGACGGTTACGCTGGAGTCAGGTGTGAGACGATGGTAAGGAAGAGGAAGTATGGAACACTATTAAGAACTGTTTTAACTGACATTATTATTCATAATATCAAAAGTCAGTTTTGTATTTATGTTTCATTCTATGGCTGTTTTTTTCAGTTTCAACAAAGCCTTTCTTGTCCCTTATATATCAGTTTTATGACTTAATTTATCAATAAGATCAATGCTTATTTAAAGATGTCGAGATTAATTCTCTATAGCAGTTACACTATAGTTTCACATTCAGTTTAAAAGAATCAATATATTCATGACCTGTCTTAAGTGGCCTATTTTTCCCCTGTGTTTCAGAGATCAACCCAGGATACCCCCCTGGCTGTCATCATAGGCCCTGTGGTGGGGGGTGTGGTCCTGTTGATTGTCATTGGTAAGTTATACTTCATATATATTGTCTTACTTACTACAGCTAATTCAATGTAATATCTAACACGCTATCACACCTAACAAGCTGCCATATGTACCACTTAATACAGTTACACTTAACACACTGCTATATGTACCACACTGTCACACCTATCACACTGCTATATGTACCACACTGTCACACCTAACACACTGCTCCATGTACAATTTTACACTCTGTCACACCAAACACACTGTAATATACAAACACCTGTTATATAATGATCAAAACTTTAGTGCACACATGCAGGAAAAAGAATTGTTTGGCTTCATTTCTTTGATATATGTTTCCCTTGTTATATTATTTCATAAGAAGGGCTTTCTTTTTTTTTTTTTTTTTGTAGCTGTAATAATCTTCTTAGTGATGGCCCGCAGCAAGAGAGCCACGCGAGGCACGTACAGCCCCAGTCGCCAGGAGATGCAAGGATCTCGTGTCGAACTTGGCAATGTACTGAAACCCCCTCCAGAGGAAAGGTTGATTTAAACTTTCTCCAGCTGTGTGATTAAGGTTAATATGCCACAAAAAAAGCAGTGTGTGGTATGAAGAGATAGATTTTTCTCAAAAATGACATCTATTTAAGGGAAAACCAGAAACATTTTGAAAAAAAATGGGCACTGGTTAAAGTGTCTTTACCAAGCACGATAAAAACAGCTGTCTGAACCAGTGAAATTGTATTAAGAAAATAATTTCCCCAAAGGTTTTTTTTACTGTAATGAGAACCTACAGGAAGCCAAAATCATGAAATATCTTCACATCAAGTCTGCATGTGAGGTCTATCATGTTTCTTATACAGGGAAATATAGTCTTGGTATCTTTGGGGACAAAATAAATAAAAATAAGGCATTTTAATAAGAAAATATAGGTAATGATAGATAGTGGCTGAGATGATATATTATAGCCAAGAAAGTGAGAAACTGTTTTTATTAAAGAAATGTGATAAAATGCCTTGGAATATGAACATTAAATAACTTAGTGACATCAAATGTGACAAGTCATATCAAAATGTCCAAACAGATCTCAGATAACATGGAAGGTTGTGATGCTATGCCTGGTTTTCCCTCCAACCTGTCACCCCTAAGATGTTCAGTGGGTTGCTCCATCCATGTTATTGAATGCACAAGATGTGTCCATTAAAACAGAAATCAGGGGTGTAAGACGTCTCAAATGGAATATTTATTTTTTCAAGTTTTTGTATTGGGATAAGATATCCATTGCCTTGAATGAGAAAATAATGATTTATTTTTATTCTCAGTGAGATTCAAGTAGAATAGATTTGGGAACAAAGTTCACTTAAGGGTTGCTAGTTAGACTGACTGGCAAGTGTTAGAATTGATAGTATTGCCATTCACACAGAGAACTTGCACCAAAAATTGAGTGGCACACATGGTGACACGTCCACCAGAATGGCTTGGCTTGCATGGTGACACATCCACCAAAATGGCTTGGCTTACATGGTGACACATCCACCAGAATGGCCTGGCTTACATTATGACATGTCCACCAGAATTGCTTGGCTTACATGGTGACATGTCCACCAGAATGGCTTGGCTTACGTGGTGAAGTGACCAACAGAAAACATTGTTTCCATTGAATTTTAATCTTATTTATGAAGCAAGTTTGCCACTACTGCTGTTCATAGAGGCTTTTTAAGGTTTTGGTCCAAAATATTTAGTGCCTAAAGTGACATATTTGTCTTTTTTATTAAAAAAAAGGAAATTAGGGTCTAACGTTCAGGGATATAATCAAAACAGTGTCTTTTTTCATGTACTTTAAAGATGGTGTGTGAATTTACCTATCAAACTAATCTATCTAGAAGATTTAAACGAATATCAGAAATTAGCATAATTTGTAGTTAATTTTCAAGGTATCGTTTTATTAGCAGTATACATTTTATGTGTTTATGTAAGAAAATCATCCACATTATGCTAATATGCAAGGTCTTCACTTGTATTTAAGATTTTGCAATATCATTGCAGGCATTTAGTCTCTCACAGGTATCAGATATTAGGAGAAAACAGTGTTTTATGAAAGTAATTCAGTTTTGGGTTGCGGAGGAAGTGGTGTGATTTTTCAGTCCTCCAAACGAAGATATTGTTAAATTGTGTAATAAGTAAAAGAGATCTTGAGCGAAAGTTAAGGATGAAGAGGACCAATAGATAGGATATTTTGTATGTAAGTCTTTGCATTTAATTCTGTCCAGTTTTATTTGCATGATCAGTTAGCAAAACTGCTTAATTAAAGAAGCATTATGAAGGAAAGGAACTTATAAGATAAGATAGGTTCTATTCCCACAAAAAAAAACAGTTCATTTACATGAAGTGTATCTTTTATCTTTTAACCATTGTACATATGTAAACTGATGTAGATAGACATATAGAAATGTATTTATCAAAATCACATCTATATTTATTATTATACACATGTTAGATATTTAACTGTATTTCTATACTGTTCCCAGTAATTGTATATCATTAACTACTAAAAAAAGTTCACAATTATACAGACCCCAGAGCTCAGCAGGCAAATGTGAGGAAATTCTATAAACAACCTTAATTTTAAGATAAACAAAATGTTCTTGGGATGACCAGTTATTTTTCTAATGGGAATGTATTTGGTGGAACTGGCAATCACAAGTCAGAAATGAACACCCGGTAGTAGTTCATTATCGAGATGCAATTCTAGTCAAAAGCCTTGCTGGATGATTCGCCATTGAAAACATTACATTAAACACAAGTACATTAAAAATGCTGTTTCTAGATTACATGTTGCCCAGAAAATTCCTGCCAATATATGTATGCAACATTTGTATTCTAGTGATAGAAGTACAACTTTACACTTGCAATAATTGTCCATTTTCTCATAGAAGTATTATACAAGGACCAGTTTGTTCAAATCTTAGTGAATTGTATAAAATGTTACAGATATTTTCACATGGAAATGTATTGACAGCATTGTGATCCATAGCTATTTTGATATATTGTTATCTCTGAGTAAAGCACAGAGATAGAATTCTCCAGATAATATATATAGCCATTTTACTGATCAATTTAATATGACATTTCAAAGTATGTGCTTCTTAACTGTCCAGTTTGTTGTGTCCACCTTTAAGTACTTTGTATGTAGAGTAACCCATCAACTACTGGGTTAAACCCTGGGATCACACAGTTTATATAAAGAGCTTCAGTAGTCTGTAGCCTTGCATAGTACTAGTAAAGTACAGAAGAGATGTAATTTTATAACTTAGGGCCTTTTGGCATCAAGCGGAACATTAAACTGGACCAGTCCACTTTTACAGGTATTTACATGTAATTATATCACAGGGTTTTTTACTCCCTCTCACAACTTCTCCATAAGTTTGCCTTCTGCTGTTGTCTTAAGTGAATTGGCTGTGGCAAGGGTGGGACATGTTTAGGGTTCTCTCTAACGTAATAGCCAGCCTATTTAATTTTCAAAAATCTTTCAAAGTAGTCGGGTCCAGTTAAGTGCATGCTAATTGTGAAAAGGACTTTTCTCTATTAATGCATTCTATAAATACCGAAATGCAAGTGTTTTCTGCTGATTCATGGTTACACATATGTTTCATAAGAGTGTAGATAGCTAAGGTCAACTGGTTTAAGAATATTGCCTCGCATGTCACATCATTAACATAATTATACATTTTTGTACAGCACTTATAATGGATTTATCAAGAAAATATCAAAAAATAAAAAATATGCATATGAATTTTTTTTCGTTTGTTTGTTTGTTAAATTTGATAACCTTTTTCGCAAAACTATTTTCATTGGTGCCTTCAATGAAAATAGTCATTTGAATGCAAAATTGATTATCATCTGAAGAAGTTGACAAGAAAGATATGATCATCAGTCAATTCATCAATTTGCTTAACAAAGTCAAAATGCAATTTGATATTTCTGAGCAATACACTAATCCTCTCTTTGAAGCCAGTCTCCAAACGATTAATTATGTGGCCGTTTGAGTGTTGGTTTTCTTTTACCTCTATTTATACTCGTTGGCATGGCAACGAACTGGTATCCCTGAAGGAAAACGTGATGCCATTGTTCGGATCATCCCCTCCCGCTTTGATAATGCGGAAATAAACCTTGCACTGTGAAGTGATAATGCTGTCGCCTCAAAAAGACACCGCTAATGCGAGCTGATGACCCAACAGCAGCGTTTTTATGGCAAGGATCTTCCATTTCAAGCAAATCTCTCTCGCCTAAACGGCTATCAGCACCGTTTAAGGCATGATTAATTAGAACAATAAGTAGCACAGTACCAGGAAATTTTCTTGAAAGGTGTACTGATGATTTTATCAGTAAAGAGGCAAAACAATGCCTTTGTTGAATGGAACATCGCAATTAGGGTGCTCATATCCTCGTAACAAAATCAATACCAGACGCTTGTACCGAAAAATAAGTCACACCCTAGCTTTCGCCCATGCTGATTTTCATGATAACATCCTACTTAGTTATAGAGTTCGTTGGACATTCGAACTGATCATCACGTATCTCATTACAGTTTACAAAGCAGCAAAAGTGACGATAAACTATCTCATGGGAAAGAACCTTAAAGGGAAAAAGCCTTAAAAGAGATGGAACTTTTTTTTTTGCTCGTAAGCCGTCACTTTGTAAATTAGTGATTTGACGTTTTTCCCAGGGGAAGTGAAAGGTCACCTCTCAAGCAGACCTCTGACATATCACGTGTATCCTTTTTCTTTCTGTGCCTCTTTGAAAGTAGTAGATAGCGCCTAACATTTTATAATTAAAGAATTAGCCACTTTCCTGTTGAGAAAAGAGGATACATCACCTATAGTTATAAGAAATTAACGCTAACCTACTTTTAAATTGGCCTTTGATCTGGTTTAACCTTGTTAAACGGTCAATATGTCCACTTTCTTTAAATGGCGCTCTTGTCGTGTACGTGCAAAGACAGAGGTGGCACTGTCTACGAGGTATAAAAGTACGCGCGTTCGCGTTTGTGTTTTACAGCAAGTGTGACGTCGTAGATCCAAGTTCCCTTTCTCTTTATCGTCACAGTTCTCTGATTTGGTGAACATTGTAACCACCTTCCTGTGCCTTGCAAAAGCCTTGCTCTACATTAACACTCTCTTGATCTAATTTGTCCAGTTGAAGTGTGTTAATTATTTTATATAAATATGTACTTTTATTGGATCTCATAAGACAATCATCGGAATGCCTTTTGAAATGCCACTTTATCGATTGGAATTACGAGTAGTATTAGTTTTGTGATAGCATTAAGTGATACCGGACATTGAGTGTTCGACCATAATCCGTATAATGAAAAAACTAAGATAATAAGTGTTAACAAATTTTATCCAGTTACGTACAATTGTAGCACAAAAGGGAACTCATTGTTGCATTGTGAAAATGCTAATGTTACGCCGGCGCAGTAACACCTGTTACAACCACATTGTAGTTCAGAAGCATGAACACTTAGGTCTAAGGCAAAATTGACCAATTTTTTTGACCATTAGGAATTGCTGATTATATTAGCTAACACGATGAAATATATTCAAAACGCTGCGAAGCTCATGATCCCATTGAGTGGAGAGAGTCCGGGAGAAAGCTTCAGTGATTTTGTTTAAATACCTAATATAAGTACTCACATATTTACCGTAGTTACCATATTTACATATTTGTTTGATAAAAACGTATGCTTTCCTTGTTTGGCGCCAAATCACAGTTTTCTCTCTAAAAATGCGAATATGTTTAAGATAATCATGAATAAAATAGAGTGATACTGAATACCAGAAAATGTAAAGCGTTCATCTTTATGTCTGATATCCTTGAGCATGGTTTTTCTCAGCAATCAGATCTAAACCTTTTGAAATTGCTGGCTGCTATATTACTGCTATATTAGTTAAGGGGCCTTTACCCTGGACGGTATCACCGTGGTCGTAGAAAGGAAGCACAAGCAGGCCCGTAGCCAGGTTCGGGGAGGGGGGGTTCGAAAGAACCGCCCTTTTTGCTGGGAAAAGGTCCACTCTGGGTAAAATTTTATCTAGTTACATTAAGTTTTTATAGAAAAAGGTCCAGTTTTTAAGAAAAAGAACCCATCTTTTGAAATTGCTGGCTACGGCCCTGACAAGCATCACTTTGGTTGCAGAATGGATGCTCAATAATCGGTCAGTTGTCGGCACGTAAAGCATTTTTTAGACTCACAAACGGAGCCGTATTACGGGACACAGAAAGGATGCCATCCAGTGTGAAGGGGGGGGGGAGGGTTTAGACAGATGGGAAACTGGAGCTTTTGAGCATATTACTCCAGCCTTATAACAGCTACATTGTTACCGCTCCGGCAAAGTCTTGTGTATTTTTAAAAGCTTTTAAGGAAAGCACAAGTAACACTGCATATCTTATTCATCGCATTGTATCCCGGACATAGGAAAACTAGTATCTAACCTCTTTTTACAATTTGTACTTTACCAATCTGAAATAGAGAGACACGCGCCGTCGCTCCAGGGGCTTAGCAATTAAACCTAGGAGCCGAGATTTAATCCGTTTAATGGCGCGTGTGGAGACGGGTAAACCATCAGCGGTATCGATTTTGAAGTTTGGCCGGCCATATTTAGTCGGCATATCAGTTAGTACTTAAATTATCTATTCTGAATGGCCCCAATGAAAAATATTATGTTATTTATGTCCTAATGTTAAGGCACAGATTGACTATCTTGCACCTGGTAATGTTAACAAAGCAGCAAAATTGGCGATAAACACTTGGCCACTCTGGGTCCAGAGGCCCGTGCGGTGGGGTATAAAACAAAAAAAGCCACATTTTACTATAAATGAGTTAACTTCATATCTTAATAATATTTAAATAAGTATTTTATCTAAAAGCATCTTTCCTAAAGCAATTTTCCTAAATGTAGGCCTTTGTAACGTATCGAACCCATGTCAAGTGTAGTAAATGTGCAATTCTGATTCTGAAACAAATTTCCAATTTCGTTTTATGTCAACGAGATGCAACAAAAATGACCCGACTTGTCTCAAGGCACGTATCTTAATCATGGTATGTATTCTATCGTTGTTGTTGTTGTCCCTAAATGGTCTNTACACGTAGACATTAATTTACTCTTTTCAGCTACATGATAAACGTGGAAGACTTTTTTTTAAATGTGCTATGGGAAAGCCCATCACGTTTTTTTGACATTAATTTATCATTTTTCTCTTAATTCATCATTATCTTTTCTGTCGCCAGGTACCACAATAATAGAAAGAATTTCAAGTCAACTCTCTGTGGCGTACCCAGATGCCCTGTAATTGCCTCACAGTCATCTGTCTATTCCAGGAGTCCTTGAAGCTGTCTTCACGTTTACCGTCATCAGAAGGAGGAGGCGCCCCATTGTTTTCTCAGTGTGGTATGTCAACTAAGGTCGTTACGTTGCCAAGTTTCTAAATGAAGATTTCGATTATAACGTCGTGTTTCTAGATATATGAAGGAAATGGCTGTCGTGGGAGAAAAAAATCCCTGTAAATTCTATCCAAAAATGATGCATCTTGTCTGTTACTTCGACCATACATCAATTGAAGAAGCGGGAGTTGCCGTTGGTCTTAAGTAATAAAATACATCTGCCACTTACATTTGTTCATGGTGACAGCATCGCTTGTGAAACCGGTGATCAACTAGAGATTATCTCATCGCATCACGCCATGTGCAATAAGAAAGCCATTTGTAGAAATATCGTTACATAATTCGCACAGCAATGCGAAGTATACTGACTAGGTACATATGATGTTAACGGAGTACATGTCAAATAATGAACACACAGTCGGGATCTTCCTTATAGATTGTGACATATAAGATATATGAAATTTGGCATGATGCTATATGTGGAGCATATTGCATGAAAGATATATAAAACATGTAGTATCATGCCAAATTTCAAATATATATAGGCCTACATGCACCTCGCCGAATGAGTAGTTATCAAGATGACGTTTCGAGAAACGAACATTTGCACGGCTGGGAAACCACATAAGTAAAAATATTTGAGAAAGGATACAACAAGCCTTGCATGGCTTCCTACCCTTTTAAGCTGTTGGCGATGAGTCTATACGTTTTCATTTTTTATGATTAGATTGCTAGAATAAATGGACAAATGGACTTTAGGTATTTTTAAAAGGAAAAGAAGCATAGGCCTAAATCAAG